GGTCGGTGGTGGTAGTAGTAGTACTGTCGCAGCAGTAGTAGCAGTAGTAGCAGCAGTAGCAGTAGTAGTAGCAGAAGTAGAAGTAGTAGTAGTAGTAGTAGTAGTAGTCGTAACTAGCGGAAGTAGGAGTAGTATCAGTAGTAGTGTAGTATCAGCAGTCAGTAGGAGTAGAAGGAGGAGGAGGAGGAGCAGTAGGAGGAGGGGGAGGAGGACGAGTGGGAGTGGGAGTCGGAGCCAGGAGTAGGACCAGGACCAGAGGAGTAGGAGTAGAAGGCATCGCCGCGCTCCGTCGTCGCAGTAGTAGTCGTCTTCGGACGCCGTCGTCGTCGTCGTCGTCGTCGCATCATTACTTTTTTGCTTTGGTACTATTCGTGGCAGTACTTGCTTTTAAAAATGTCACGCTTCTGTTTTTTTGGAGGCTGGCAGATACGAGTAGGATGTGAGAGCACATTTTGTTTTAGCTACGAAGGAAGTGTCACGGATATAGTCTTGCGGCTAAGTCTTGAAAGTGTGTCTTCTAGATACAATCCTTCCAGCTCATCACCTTGAAACCCTGAATCAGGCAATATAGCTGCTCTGATCTTTTCGTGTAGTTCTATAAGGAACCTAAGGAAGAAGATTGGCAATCATTTAGACTTCCATAGTTGAGTGGCTCCAGGAGGATCACGCTGCCGGCCGCTGGGTCCGCGCAGGTGGCCTCCACCTCCGGCCTCGACTCGCGCGGCGCTGTGGGGCTTTGACGGTTTGGGGTTTAGGGTTTTAGGGTTTAGGGCTTTCGGGTTTTACAAGTCTTGTTAGACACAGATGAGACTCGCCAGTTCGCGTATAGCTCAAAGCAGTTGGAGTAGCAGGGTGAGTTTTGAAGCCGTGGCATTTCAAACTCTTGTCGCCGTCCACCATGATCTTGTTAAACAACAAACACTTCGAACAAACAATCAACGGGCCTTTCGTGTTGGAGTTTCGGGGCACAGTCTTATTATTCTAAGGAGCCCTAACAGGCCCTAAGGAGCAATAGTGGTTTCACAGTGACAATTGCTAAAAGACCCCTGTGCTCGGCACCAGCCGTGACAAGCCCCAACAAAGCCTCAACAAAAAAGCAGACCCACAGCCCACAGAACTCGAACGGTCCTTGGAAGCATGATGCCATGGAATGCGCGCTCTCACGTCAGACGTCAGGGCTCCGACTGTTAACCACAAGAACTTTCCATTTACTGCCTGGCCTATACTTCAGGGGCACCAACACTCAATTGGAGAATCTCGGCCCCAGTAAATTTGTGAGTCCCAACCTGGAGCCCTCACTGCCGTCCCTGAAACAAAATGTGTTTTGGAAGACCGACGCAGAATCCCAAGCCCATACTCCCACTGGGCATTGGCATGCTTTAACAGCTACGTTTGCACTGCGTGCTTGCCGTAGTTTGAAAGGCGCTATACAAGGAGAAAGATACACAAGACTATAGACAATTCCTCCAGAATATCTGCCAAGAACGAGACACTTTCGAAGTTGGCAAGAATAAACATGATATAATGGGCAAACCGTTGCCACAGGATCCCTCCTCGCAGCCTCAGCCCAACGCTCCGCTTCCCTTCGAAGAAGCCGAGACTTACACAGTGGCTTTGCTGCTCTTCAGCTGTAGCCGAGGCGTCGATTAAGAGGGTCTGCTTCAACTTCCCGAGACCCTCATCCCCAAGTCCCTGAAGCCCAGACAGTCTCCTGAGCTGCCGGCCCTACGCAGTCGGTGCAGAACGTGACCTGGGTGGCAAGTGCCCACAAGTCGAGCCACAAAGTCCCGAGCCAACGTGCCGATTTCGATGGTCCACATCCGCCATCGCTTAAGAATGCCCGGAGTCTCCGAACCCTCAACCCTAGTCTGGAGCGACCTCGGTTTGGGTTTCTTGAGTGAGAAGCCATGTCCTTGTCCCCGAATCCGTGCATTAGATCCCTCAACTCCATACCTAATACCCGGACTCACTCGATCTTGATACGCCTCGCAGCTGGGGCGGCAGGATTAGCGCTGGCAGTACTAATAAAGGGATTTCCTACAAGCTTACGGACCCGACCCTGGGTCCGCCACTGGCTTGCCCAGCTTCTCCTCCAGGATCTTGGCCACTGGCGCCAAGGAGTACTTCGAGACGACCTGATTTTTACTTGATTCCGGGTTTTGCCTCTCAAAGTTGTGTGCTCCAGGGCCCCTCAGAGCCTCCAGACTTTAACCTCAAAGCTAAAGCGTGCGGACCTTTTCATATGTAGACCTTAGCTCCAGCCGCTCAGCCCTTTGCGGAGCCGTCGGGTCGTCCAAGGTGGGAGGCCAGGACGACGGACTTGGCACCCTTCTCCAGCACCTGCATGGGCTTGCAGGGGTCGGGATCCGCATGCCGGACCATCGCACGATGGCATCAGTTGGGGGTACTTGATGCTAAAGACAAACTATGAGCACAATTCACATCGACCTCCTTCGCTGCTGCGCTGGCGAGCCTTCTTGATGGTGGGCAGGGCTCCATCAATGCGCTGAGTGTTGGTGATCTTGGTAGGGTCGGCCTTGTCCTGTACACGTGTCTTTGGATATGGTATCCTTGGGTCTGCAGCAACCACAACCGATGGAGAGTGTTCCATGGCATCTACCCACATGCTTCCACCGTATATCTCACGAGATTACACACCCGGTTGACTGAGGATGTCCAGGCGCTGGTACGGTTGATACAAAATATATCAATATGATATAGTATAGTATAGTATAGTATAGTACAATCTAATGTAATATATTGTAATACACTACAATATCATATCATATCATATAATATCATATAAAATAATATAGTAGAATATAGTGTAATGCAATATAATATAACGTCATATCTTAAAGTATAATATAAACTAATGTAATGTATTGTAACATAATGTCATATCATATAATATAATATAATATAATATAGTATAATACAGTATAACAGATTATAATGTAACATAATCTAAAATGCTTATAAGAACATACAATATCATATAATATGATATGTAATTTATTACAATATAGTTTTATACAATATAATATAATGTAGTACGCACATATATATATATGTATATGTATGTATGTATATATATATATGCATCAT